AGAGAACTGGGTCTAGTCGCTTGTTTGGAGGGACAAAAAATAAAAATATGCCGAATATGGCATCTTGGAAGTTTTCCTACATTCCTAAAGTTGTTTGTGCAGCCTGAAACGCAACAATTATAATAAGGCATCTTTTAATATATATTTAGCTCGCTCACTATAACTTGTAGTCCCTCCAAACGTCCCTCCGAACATCAACTAGACCCAGTCCTCTGCTAGTGCTCGATTGGGAAATGGCTAATTATGCAATCCTCCAATATACGCAGATAGCTTCGCAACCTCGTCTCATGCCAATTTTTCGCGCGATTTTTGGTAACTACTTTTTCCGACAAAACAACCCACACAAAAGAACCAGTGGATTAAGGTTCGCCAACTTGAAATTTAGGCAATTGAAACTTTGTGCCAGATCCCAGAAGTGGAAAGTGTTCTTTTCTTTCTGGGAATTTGGGTCAAAATATTTTGCAAAAGATTGCGACAAATAGGTGGAAAATAACAACATTGTTGTTTGTGACAGTCTTAATGTGTTGTCGTGTGAAGCAATATGTCTTTAAGACTGATAAGACAAATAAGATAAATCCTGAGGTATTCATAGTAGTTACAGTCTAATTAGGGGCTGATTACATGGAGAGTTTTCAGCCCGGGCTGAGTTTCAGCCCGGTTAAACGAGCTGAAATTGCATCACGATTACATGAGCAGTTTGAGCCCAGGCTGAGTTTAGTCAGAGCTATATTTATAGTAAATCCGGGCTGAAATAATCTGAGTGTGACGAAATAGGACAATGAGCCTGTTACGCTTCCGTTGAAGCAATCAGACGCTGATTAGTCGACTATTTGACTTGTGTGAGACTGTGGTTATATGTAAAGTATTTAAAGATGAAACAAACACGCAAAATAAAGCCATTTATACGGTTGTTTTGTTAGCCCGAGCTGAAATTATTTGCAATTACATGCTGCCGGGCTGAATTTCAGCCCGGGCAGCTCAAACCGGGCTGAAATTACAGCCCGGGCTGGAATTTTGGTAATATAATCGCTTGCTGTGTTTTAATAGGATTTTATCCTTAGGCTGGGCTGAAATTTCAACTCGGGAAACCGGGTTGAAACTCAACCCGCTGGCTGGAAACTCTCCATGTAATCAGCCCCTAACAGGATTAAAAACAAATTTCCTACCGATGTATATATATATATATATATATATATATATATATATATATATATATATATATATATATATATATATATATATATATATATATATATATATATATGTTGTTCAAAATGAAAAAAATTAAAAATAAAAAAATTTTAAAAATTTAATGTGCTGCTACTTAAGTTTCACGTATTACCGATCGTGAAACTTAAGTAGCAGCACATTAAATTTTTTAAAAATTTTTAAAATTTTTTATTTTTATTTTTTTTCATTTTGAACAACATATTAAGCTCTGCGAATTTCCCGCATCGAGCACTGTACTCGTTTTGGCTTCAACAACCAAGCAATATATATATATATATATATATATATATATATATATATATATATATATATATATATATATATATATATATATATATATATATATATATATAATGATCATGCTTACTGGCAACAGCATCTGATTTCAATCATTTCTTATATATACCAATCTTTTGAAACACCTGACCATGCAACAATATTGTACCGGGTGGCCCAAAAAAAGTACTCCTGTTTGATTCGTAATAACATCTAAACAAGTATAGCTTTTAAAGAGAAATAACTTGCATCAAATAGAGGAAGGACTAACTTAGACTTTGATATATTACAGTTGTATTTCACTTAAAAATTCACGGAGATATTAATCTTTAAATTCGGGAGGATATTTCTGGCTGTGTCTGAAATATGCAAAAATCGGCGTATCAAATATTAATCAAGATTTGCCCGACTGAAACATGCACTATTACCAGTAAATAAATGACACTTGACAAATTGTTTATTATGAAACAAAGTATTATTATATCTACAAAATACAAGCAAGATTCATTCGTCCGAAATTCGCGTGTGTTCCTAGCACGAATACGTTTCCTTATTTCATGAGACCACTGCATCGCGAAGGATCGTCATTGGATCGTTCGTAGTTCTGAATTAGGGCATGCTGTCACAACTGAATTGTGAAGCTCTTCTAACTTCTGCAACGTTCTGAAATCTTGTTAAGAACACCCAAACTCTTTTGCCGTTTCTTAATCTTGGCAAGTTCATGGAGTAAACTGAGAATTATATGAAACACAATCAAACCATACAACTCCATAAGACATAACAATTAAGCAACTCCCCAGAGACATGCAACATTTTTGGAACAAAACGTAACAAAATAGTAGCGTTGATACGGTGATGTGTATTTGCAAAAAGCAATACCGTATTATTTCCTTCAATAAAGAATATTCATCCTGCTCTAACCGAGAAATAATCTACTCAGTCTGTTTGAACCCATTAAAAACATAAAAAAATTAGGCTATTTAAGAATACGAAAAATTTAAGCGCCTTCCTTCCATGGTCAGTCTTTCATGTACATTTAAGTTTGCAAAGACCTAATATTAAATACTTGCATAATTTCGAACGTTCATATTTCAGGAAACAATGAGCTAAGACTTACATGTAAGATGTCTAAATCTACGCCATATCCCTTACAAACCTAATAACGATAATTCGCTGAAATACAAATTAGCCTAATATGTCGTTAAGCAAACAAACGCTGGAGTTAATATTTGATATGCCGATTTTCGCTAATTTTAGACACATTCCAAAATATGCTCCCCATTTTTAACATTAATATATCCGTGAATTTTTAAGTTAAATACAACTGTAATATATCAAAATCTAAGTTAGTCCTTCCTCTATTTAATGCAAGTTATTTCTCTTTAAAAACTTTACTTGTTTAGAAGTTATTACGAATCAAACAGGAGTACTTTTTTTTGGGCCACCCGGTATATATATGAATATATATATGAATATTTTTGGTGAAACCTTTCCGCAGTAATTTAGGTATCAAGTTAAATGATAAATTTAGTGTCTGTGAAATTTCTGTAATAATCATATAGAGGGCAAAATTACTCAAATATGATTGGCTAATGATGAAGGTATTTTTCTTAATTCAGGGAAAAATTACTTGTACCTGATTGGCTGAGACGTATGCGCGGGAAGTTTCTTGTTTTAATTATAAATAGCAATAAAAACGATGGCTTCTCGCTTTGTCGTTGCGGATAATAATGTTATTGAAGAATTAAAAACTTCTAGTGAAAACTCGAATACTAGAAAAAGTACAATTTTATGGGTTGGAGTATTTAAGAAATGGGCAGCATTAAGGAAATCGGCGAAGACATGGGGACATACGAGGTTCAAGAACTTGACAAGTTCACAATAACTTACGAATATATTTTGCCCTCTATGATTAACAAGTAATGGCACAGTTCCTCGTAAAATTAAGGTTTAATTTCACTTGTGTTTTCAAAGTTTCACAACTTGTGAAATTTTGAAAACACAAGTGAAATTAAACCTTAATTTTACTCGGCCCCATGCGATTACCTATACAAATGTTAGTCTCAAAACATTTCTGGGAAATACGTTCCCAGGTTCCAATATTTTCTCACCTCTGCTTTGTGCATGCATGCATGCATGCATGCTTTAGCTGAAGTAGAAAGCATATTCTAACAGCAGGTGTGGATGAGTAAATTAATACCTTTTAACAGTGGCGAAGCCAGCCCGACAATTTGGTCATGCTATGCAAATATTTCCGTGCTCATACACCATGAAAACAATCAATTTCTAAAGAAATGAATGATAATGATTTGAAATTTGCATAGCATGACCAATTGTCGGGCTGGCTTCGCCACTGCTTTTTAACCATATTTATATATATACTTTTACCAAAACTTGACGAAAAGTGAAGCTCTCTTGGTTAAACATCTTTTGGTAGTTCAGATCAATTAATGAGTAAGAATTGAGATTAAGTTAGGAATCCAATGCAGTGGAACAAAGTACTTTTGGACATGATTCTTTCAATGTAAATCATGATTGAAACTATATTTTTCTTCGTAGATCTACTGGACGAACTTTATCCTGAGAACCAACTGCAACCGAAAGATCCCATAGAGAAAGCCAAACAAAAACTTTTCGTTGAAAAACAAGGTGAAACGGTGAGATAAAACGAATCTTTTTAAAGTGCACATGATACGAATTCACGAAATTAGGGGAGATGTATTGATGTACAGAATCGCCTGCCAATTAATATTTCCAAAATGGTGGGTGCACGCACTACATAATTATAATCATCTTGAAAAGGCCAGTATTAATTTAAAGCGTTAAAAGAAGATAAATGTTGCTTAATTCGCATACACGTATTTGAACCTGCAAAACGTGTCGATTATTTCAAGCAACAAAGCAAATACAATTTTCATTGTGTAGAGAATCTCGAAGAGTATTAATTTCGTTAAATAAGTATATACTGTAAACATTTTTTAGTGATTGATTTGGAAAAGTCCAACATGTTACAGTACTGCAACCAAAGTTCGTTAAACCTGGTTTCCATATGGTCGTAACGGTCGTTAAGATTGAGTCACAATCTTTCTCATTAGCCGAAATACAACATTTTAGAACTGAAAATGCGCGGGAGTGATTATAACTAGAGAATACTTATGATTTATATGGGGCTCACAGGTTATAAAGTATTATAAACTGGCCGTACGTTGAGAAAGATCGTGACTCTAATTTTTACGACCATATAGAAACCAGGTTTTAACACGAAACGTGTATCAACACGAAATTTCTACTCGAAATTTCAATCTATAATCCCTTCAAGAATCAATTTTTGAAGTGCGTGTTTTCTCAACAATCAGTGTCACACAAACGGAAATACAGATAATCAGGGTCCCCACGGTCCTTGAAAATCCTGGAAAGTCCTTGAATTTGTTAAAAAAAAATCCAGGCCTGGAAAGTCCTTGGAAACTGATAAGGTCCTTGAAAGTCCTGGAATTTTTTTTCAGTAGGCTGGAAATAATTGAAGAATTATTACCAGCCCAAGGATTATTGCCCAAATGTTTATTTTCTCCAATTTCAATTAATGTTATGTATAACAATTGTCCAAAAGTTGTTTCGATGTCATTTTTTTTCTAATTGCATTCCTCTCCTTAAGTTTAAGGATAAAAGTTAGACGATTTTCGAAGATTTTTCTAGTTGCCAGGTCCTTGAATATACTAAAAAAGGTCCTTGAAAGTCCTGGAAAAGTCCTTGAATTTCATCTTCACTAAAAGGTGGGGACCCTGGATAATTCTACCGCTTCCGATTGTCTTCTATGATAAGGCAACAATCTGCACGATATCGGTCAATCACTAACACTTTTTAATCTGTAGAGTCCCTAAATTCTACGGTATTGTAAATACACGGCTTACCCGTGGGATTTATTCATTTTATATGTCTCCCAAAATTTAGTTATTTAAATGCTGCGCATATATACTGTATGTAAGCAAGTATGTACATGCCAAAATCCATTTGACCACGCTACGTCGATAATTACTATCTGTCACTTATCTTGGTTTTACCTTCCATTTGTTTGAGTTCGTTCTCCGCCAGCCTATGAGTCCCAGTCGTTCTGAAGAAAGCGCGAGAAAAAAACGTGGATGTAGTACGAGCCTGGGACCTAAGTGTGAGGTGCTTCAGAACGCCTAGCAGATTTCAGTATTTTTAATATGGCGGAAAATTTGTATATACAAATAACCTTGTAAATGCGATAATGTTCGTTGATCATATTCGATGTCTACATATTAACCAAATTCAAGCTGTATTAATTAAAAATGTGCTCAAAAATTATATACAAATTTACGATACTGAGTCTGAGCAATGGTAAAATGTTCAAAACAGTTTTGTCGTATAATCGTTGATGTTATTTATATACTCGCTTGTGATCTACACTAGACCATACACAACTACGCTTTCTTCTTGACAGGTTTAAGTAGGTGAGGAGATTGGAAATATATTTGCCTGACATTACTGTGTTGTCAAAACATTTTTAATCGGAGACTCGGGATAATTTTCAAGCTTCCAGATAGCATTTAATAGCTTTATATTTTAGTAAACACGAGTCATATTTAGCCCGTTGGTCCATTCTGACCGTATCGTAGCGAAACGTACTCGCTAGCCTATTTCATTGTTCCGAGAGCATTAGAGCAAAACTAATGACTTAATAGTTATAAACGCAAAAGAAATTTCCAAATCATTTTCTATTTACAAATGCGATATGCTTGGTAACCAGACCAGGGACCACTTTTTTGAAATCAGGTACCATTTTACTGAAATCTGCCAGGCTCTCGCGTTGAAGCGTTCCGCACAGCATACCCAGGCATAAAACTTTTAAGACTTACTAACTAAATCAAAGCAGCGTACAGAGAGAGAGAGAGAGCCTGGGACTAGGCTGGTTCTCCGCCATAACTGCCAAGATAACTCGCAATACATGATTGTCAGAGATTAAGTTACGATGTACCATATAATATTTCTGAAGATATTTTATGATTGCCAAGTAATCGATATTAGCAACCGCATAATCACCATTAATCGGCGGGCGTAATCCTTTGAAGTCTCATATTTCAGTTTTTAACCCGGGTACACAGGCATACCCGAGATTGGGGGATTCATTACAGCCTGCACTCTGCAGAGGAGCTAGCTAGCGTAACTGTACCAAAAAAAGTGTAAAAGGTTCTGCGGCACAGACTATTGTAAGCATATGTACTCATACAATTTAAGGAAGTGTCTATAATTGTAAACTGTATTAATTATTGTATTAATATTTGGTATTCATTAATTGACATATTCCAGTCCAGTACAACAAATGTAGTATTCATTACGGTAACTCCAATATATTGTTAACTTTACAATTCATTCCGTCATATTACAAGCATTTGAAAGGAAGGACGGAGGAAACAAAACAAGAATTGTTGAAGAACATTTCTAAAGTTGAGCAGTATTTAGCTGAAAATAAATTGCAGTATTTTGGAGGTGAGTTTAATAATATTTTGCTTTAATGACGTGCAGTGGCGGACTGGGGGGGGGGGCAAGTGGGCTTAGCTGCACCCTCCTCTCTCTGCAATAATTTCCAAAGACTTATAAAGTCTGGTACCAAATACCACAATTCACTAGCCCGCGTGCAGGCCCAAGGGAACTGATAGTGGGCCTGCAAGCAAGGCCCGGTATTTTGTACTTTCCGCGTTCGCCCACGAACGCAGCATTCTGATTGGCTGTTTGCTGTTGGATTCTATAATTAGGTCAGTGATTCATCACAAAGGCTCTCGATAAGCTTAAAATTCGAAAATTGATCACTTTTTTCGATTATCAAATGGAACAAGAACAGACTGTTTATTGTTTACTTGAAGGAAGAGATGTTTTTGCCGTTATGCCAATGGGGATTGCTTGTCGTGAGGTGTTGGAATAGCAACATTACGACTGGGGTAAACTATAGTAACCTTTACACTTGAGTTTCATTAATTTCAAACAGACTTGATACGTTATATGTTCCTCAAGAAAATGATCTTTTGGTTGATGTTGAGATGCAGTTGCATGTAAGCCTATTCGAAACACTTTGCGATTTACAAGGCTTCGCTGAGAGAGCGAAACAGAAGACGGTATTAAATTGCCGTTTGAAACGAAACGATCTGGACTCTGAACGCTCTCTTCTTTTGTAGAGTTCTTTTAACCAAATGAAATAACTGAAATAAATTTCGTACTTTCCGCCGCCAACAAGAATTGCACACACGATCTGATAAGTGAGACAATTTATTTATAACAATGGCGACAGCGAAGCACACATTATAAATGCTAATGTGGTCGCACGACTTCCCTCACGATTTGAAGTTTGAGACTGGTTTTCTGTTGAAATTCGTCCTAATTTGCCTGTTCCGATTTTAGTTGAAAATGAGCACTTGCAAATTTGGCAATTACTGACTGCGTTGCTTGCTTTTTTGGAGTTAAAACGCAGCCATTTACACATTGTTTATGTTCTGAATAAGCAGAGAAAACCCCGCAACATTTTAATGCGAGTTTGTTTGTTAATATTTGGGTGCTGTCATTGGTTCTTTTTTGACAATTGACGCGCGAATGGGGCGTGTTATGAAAAGGGGCGTTTTACAAAATACCGGGCCTTGCTTGCCGGCCCACTATCAGTTCCCTTGGGCCTGCACGCGGGCTACAATTCACAAGCATTGTTTAGGAGCAAGTGGCATGCAATATAATGCTTTACTAGAAATACATGCATGCAGTAACCCCTCGCCAATATTTTACAAACACTAAATTAACATGAAGTATTCAGAAATGGCCCACTGAACGCAGGCTCGCGCTCAAGTGTTGCCATGACACACGATATTCTTAAATTTTTAATTTTTTCATATTTTTTGTACAAAACTGCAAAATAGTTGAAAGATTCATACTTTTAACTATATACAACAATAAATTTCCGAATATATATACTGTAGGTATATTATTTTGCATTTTGTGAGCTTTGATTTAATTAATGTAAAATTTAACTTGAAACGCTTCGTAAAATGTTTTGAAATGTTCATTCAACTATAGTTCATTTGCCGATAAACTAATAATAAAACATAATAAGTTACAAATAAAACAAATAAACTGTTAGGTAATTTCAGTTCAGTCTTCAAATCAATTTGTTCTCCTTTACATTTTAAGATTTTTTCTCAAATTAAACGGTAATTTATGAAACTTAGAGCTTCGTTGAAAAGGAAAACAGTTCATGTTTTTAGGTGAAAAGTTTAATTAAAGCAACAAAATTCGTAAACATACTAAACATTAAATATTCAAAGCAAACTTGCCGTATTTTTCACGATTTCCCATAGTAAATCAATTCTTCTCATTTCTTCAAACAAAATTGCTTCATGCTTGTTGTGTATGAAACGATTTTCCAAATACCGCGGGTGGCCCAAAAAAAAGTACTCCTGTTTGATTCGTAATAACTTCTAAACAAGTAAAGTTTTTAAAGAGAAATAACTTGCATTAAATAGAGGAAGTACTAACTTAGATTTTGATATATTACAGTTGTATTTAACTTAAAAGTTCACGGAGATATTAATGTTAAAAATGGGGAGCATATTTTGGAATGTGTCTAAAATTAGCGAAAATCGGCATATCAAATATTAACTCCAGCGTTTGTTTGCTTAATGACATATTAGGCTAACTTGTATTTCAGCGAATTATCGTTAAGGTTTGTAAGGGATATGGCGTAGATTTAGACATCTTACATGTAAGTCTTAGCTCATTGTTTCCTGAAATATGAACGTTCGAAATTATGCAAGTATTTAATATTAGGTCTTTGCAAACTTAAATGTACATGAAAGACTGACCATGGAAGGTAGGCGCTTAAATTTTTCGTATTCTTAAATAGCCTAATTTTTTTATGTTTTTAATGGGTTCAAACAGACTGAGTAGATTATTTCTCGGTTAGAGCAGGATGAATATTCTTTATTGAAGGAAATAATACGGTATTGCTTTTTGCAAATACACATCACCGTATCAACGCTACTATTTTGTTACGTTTTGTTCCACAAATGTTGCATGTCTCTGGGGAGTTGCTTAATTGTTATGTCTTATGGAGTTGTATGGTTTGATTGTGTTTCATATAATTCTCAGTTTACTCCATGAACTTGCCAAGATTAAGAAACGGCAAAAGAGTTTGGGTGTTCTTAACAAGATTTCAGAACGTTGCAGAAGTTAGAAGAGCTTCACAATTCCGTTGTGACAGCATGCGCTAATTCAGAACTACGAACGATCCAATGACGATCCTTCGCGATGCAGTGGTCTCATGAAATAAGGAAACGTATTCGTGCTAGGAACACACGCAAATTTCGGACGAATGGATCTTGCTTGTATTTTGTAGATATAATAATACTTTGTTTCATAATAAACAATTTGTCAAGTGTCATTTATTTACTGGTAATAGTGCATGTTTCAGTCGGGCAAATCTTGATTAATATTTGATACGCCGATTTTTTGCATATTTCAGACACATCCAGAAATATCCTCCCGAATTTAAAGATTAATATCTCCGTGAATTTTTAAGTCAAATACAACTGTAATATATCAAAGTCTAAGTTAGTCCTTCCTCTATTTGATGCAAATTATTTCTCTTTAAAAGCTATACTTGTTTAGATGTTATTACGAATCAAACAGGAGTACTTTTTTTTGGGCCACCCGGTATATGTCTTTTAAAATTGAAATCTTGCTCGTCCCACTCCTACAAGCAATCAGCCATATTTTTGAGATCAGTGAGGATGACCATGCACCCACTCAACATCGTTGGTGACCGACGCCCGCGCTCATTGATGAACTTTAGACTTGGCTAATGCTTTCGTTTCCCGGGTGTAAATAGCCGGGAGGAATTAGTACCCTCGCCCCGGGCTTACGCCCGGAACGGCGCTCCACGCCGTTGGCTCGGGGATAATGCTTTATTAAAGAAAAGTTTGCAGCTGCAAAAGTAAGCTGAATTACGTTATCATACATTAAAAAGATTTATGCTATATATAATAAAATATGTTATAATATATATGCTGAATAGCAAAAGGAATGTAGCTTTTCTTAAACTGTTCTGTTCCGCATTTAACTAGTGATAAATTCCGCTTTTGTCTCAAGTAAGCACACCCATATAGCGTAATTGTCATATTAAATAATGACTATTAAATACAACTTAAGCTAAAGTTAGAAATATATCAAGCATTACATGATTCTGTAATCTGTACAATTGACAATGATGCCACAAGATACGAATTTTATACAATTCGTTTTGTTCTGTGTAGGATTCCTGATAAAAAAATTAATCAGAATAGACAACTTGCATGTTAGACTAATTTTTTATTTAGGCAAAAAAAAAGTAAACTCCCGTAAAGAACTTATTAAAATCAGTAAAATTGCAAAATTTGGTTACGAAATGTTGTAAAATGCAGAAAATATAGCCTTGCGAAGTTTGCATATTTTCAGTATGTTTGTATTACGTGCGGAAATTGTTACCATTTTTGAGCCGAAAATTTAATCCTGCAATATACATTAAAAAAATCTGTATTTTATAAATTTATTAAACACACCTCTTTGGGCCGACGTGAACTTTGTCTGTTAATACAAAAGCAAGCAAATTTGTCTTGTAGATTTCAAATGAAACGATTGAAATCATTCCTCTCCATTTCGCATTTCGAATAATAGACTCGGGATTACAAAATGCGAATGCAAACTCTCCATCTAGTATTGCTTTCTCGTCCTCTTCGTTTGACAGTGAAGTAACCAACCTCGTCCCCAGGGCCTATTGAGGAAGGAGGCGAAGCAGCAAAGGCCCTGGTAAAGGCTGGTCACGTGATGCTTCAAATTTTGAATATTTCAGAATATTTAACTTTTCAAACCGGGGGTGCGGGCCGCTTTGATTTTATCAAACATAGCCGTACAAAGGGGCGATAGAAGCTTTTGCGACCGAAACCAGAGAAACCATGATGATAAACTTTTCAACTGACAGTGGAAATAAATATATAGTTAGTCTGCGATGTTCTTCAAAAAATATGGAATATAATCAACAGCAATACTTGTGGAAGATCAAGATTCAAAGAGAAGAGTCTAAACACTGACTGACAACAGTAAATATTTCTTTTCAGCTTGGAAGCGTGTTTTGTAATATTTGTCGTTTGGGAGTCAATAACATACTGTCACTACTGTCAGTGAAGAATTTGATTTGGGACTTTGATGTACCTTTATGAAAAGATTACTACTGAATACAAATGTGCATGTAAAATGTGATTAGAACGTTTAAATATGAACAGTTGCACTGTCATTGACTCAATATATTTTAATGTGGGACAAACATTAAAAAACATTAAAGTACTGTGCCAAGTGACAAAATTCCATGCCGACCATGGGTTACGTATGTATGCATTTTTATTAAACGTTTATACCAATATACATTATTTTAAACCTTTGTGTGTGAATTTTGTGTGTTGATTTTATGATATTTGACAACCATGAATATTAATATAATATGTTA